TACTTACACTATAGCGTAAATTAGAAGTGCAACGCAAAAAAACTGGATTTTTACGCCTATTTTGAATTTTACTCGAATACGAATACAAATACAAATACTTTTCCCCCCTCAACAAATACAAATACAGATACAAATACCGGCTGCTTTGCACACCCCTAGTAGACATGGATACCGCGTCAACACAACACATAAAAAAGGCCTTTTGGTTTTAAGATACAGGCTACCTAGGCTAATATCTTTCTATTCAAAGTCATTTAATGCATTACATAGGTTGCCATATGATAACATTTTTGCATTTCAATCATAACCACTGAAAATAAAAAATTGCAAAAAATTCAATGAAGAGGTTCATTGTTTTGTTTATATGCTGAATTAAATGTCTGACTTGGAGCAAATGAAGTTAAAAAAAAAAAGCAGTATGGCCGCCATGTTTATTCTGCGTTCATTCCACACATCATTTATGTACCTATGCATACGCAAGATGAAGTAGCATCAAAAACCTTGGAGGCAGTTTGGTCACCTTTTGTCAAGAGAATGTGTTTAAATATGGTACAGTTAGTATCAGGGGTGTTGTTAGGCCTACTTAAGGGGATGGGGGGAGGGTTTAGCCTGTCAATGTCATATACCAATTTGGAATATTTTTGTCAGGACAGAAACACTCGCAGAGATAGGGGAGTCACTTTTCCCTGGACACAGAGTACTCATTAAAGCCCAGGCAAACAAGGGGAGCAAACAGGCAAACATAGGGCTACGGGCGAAGCAGCTGCAGCTTCAAACAGGGCTTGGCAGAGGAGGGCAATGGGAGTGAGGGGCCTTTGGAGGCTGGCAGGTCTAGCTTGTTAGCCCCTTAGCTGTTGGCTGGCTCATGGCATGGGCGTGACAGTTTCACAATCATTGTCTAACTCTAGACACCAAATGGTCTTTCTCCCTTCTGTAGCAGATTGATCCCCATCACTGATGAGTCCAGTAATGGTGGCTCTGTAGGCAAATTGCAAGGGGTCCAAGACTGGGTTAGTGATAGACTAGAGGTGGGACAACACCCCATCCCTCTCCTGAATTAAAGGTAGCTGTTGAGTTGGGACAGGGGGCTGTCAGGGTCAGCACCTGTCTGTCCCAGCCTTTCGTGTCTCCTCCCTGTTTGGCCAGCAGGTGTCGCTGGCCATCCTGTCCTCCCTGTTGTCCAAGTCTTTAGTGTGTTTCCTGTGCTCCTCAGACTGCTGCATGGCTCTGTGGGCTAAGCATGTGGCTACCAAACCCTATAGTCGTGTGTTCAAATCCAATCGCCTCTGTTTTTCTCTTTAGTAGATTTTGTTCCCTAGTGTTTTGTGGGAGGAAAATTGAACAGAGGGTATATTTTTCTTAACAAGCTTTTAGATAAACTACTTCTGCAATGTATTTTTTTATATTATTGCAAGAATGCCTGGGTGACAGCTGACACGAGACAAGCTAAAAAAGATTGAGGTTTGAGCTAAGTGTTGCACTCATGTTTTGGAGCACAGTACTTGTTAGAATTCACAAGTAATGCAGACTGGGGGCATCAAGCACACGTAGCAGACATGGCAGGAAACCACACAGACAGAGATTATGCAAAAGCATAGACACCCCCTCACGTGCCCCAGGCCTGCAGCATGCTCATCATGTGAAGTATACATGTTTGAAAGATACAATCCGCATAAGGCATATGTGTGTTAAAAAGGGCACTCCCTACCCTAACCAGTTTGATCTGGTTTAGAGGAGGGGGCGTGAACTGTGAATGTACCACTATAAAGGTTATGTTGACCAGAAGATCTTTGGAACATACCACGAGGGTGGCAGCTGGATGGGTGTTCCATGAGCTCATTAATTAGTGAAGTCACATACAATGGCATCAATCTGTATTGTCATAAATTTCTACCACAGTTTCTTTTATATTAGTTTTTATACTTCTTGAGTTTTGTGATTTGCATTCATTGTGATATTTGTATAGATTTATCTACACCCTTCTGGCAGTGCTACCATTGTAATCAGATCTCGCAGACTACGAGGAGTATAAGTTGTCCGACTTGGCTGCAGTCAGTTTATACTCCACCCCTGCAGCCGGCCAGATCT